GAATGCCATTGAGAAGATCGACAGGGCGGCTTTCAAAGGGGTGGCTGCGGGGCTGCGTACCCTCGACCTCTCCAGCAACCGCATCCGCAGCATCCCCAAGGAGGCCTTGCTGGCGCTCAACGCCAAGCTCCGTCTGGCCAACAACCCCTGGCACTGCGAGTGTGCCTTGCAGGAGGTATTGTGGGAGGCGCGGCTGGACCCCGACTCCGTCCAGGACATCACCTGCCACACGGCCCCACGGGAGGAGTACGTGGGCAAGCCGCTGCTGCAGGTCCTAGATGCTGGCGTCAACTTCTGCAGCGTGCGTCAGAGGACCACGGACGTGGCCATGTTCATCACCATGTTTGGCTGGTTCGCCATGGTCATCGTCTATGTGATCTGCTATGTCCGGCACAATCGAGAGGACGCCTGCAAGCACGTGGATTACCTGAAGTCCCTGCCGAGCACTCAGGGCCATGCAGAGACCACCAGCACCGCCCTGTAGTGCAGGATTGGGGCGCCCTGTTCCCAGCATCTTTGCAGGGAGCCTGCGGCAACGAGGTGGGCTTCAAAGCTTCTCTCTGGGATTTTCCAGCGCTTGCTCCAGTCCTGCAAATGAGTGCCACTGACTTCGCCTCTCCCTAGCGATGCTGGACTGAGCGTGAGCAAACCACACGGGGGAGGGATGCTGGGGACACCCCACACAGACCTGTCTATGGAGCCCAGGTTCCCAGGGAGGAACCCCCCCCCAAACCCCTTCTCCCCTGCCAGAGCTGGACTCGCAGGGAAAGCAGCTCCAGCCACATGCTCGTGGTCCACGTGGTTTGGAGAGAACAAGCCCGGGGAGGGGGGGAGACAGATGAGGGTGGGGGCTTCTGTGGGACCAGGAGGTCCCTGGGGTGCAGAGGGGTGGGTTGCTCTGCAGAGCGGGGTCACCCCATCCTGGCTCTGGGGAGGGACTGGCCTTGCAGAGAGCAGGACACCGGCCCCAGCCCCCTGCGCAGCATCTCAGCAGCCTCTGCCTGCCACCAGCAACTGGGGGTGATCTCCCAAACCTTGGATTTCTCAATAAAGCCTCGCACGTAGGAAAAGGCCTCAGGGTTTGCGCTGCGCTGGGAGCCGGGCGTCCAGGGAGGGCAGCAGTGCTCGAGGGGGTTGCGCTTGTCCTAATTCAATCTCTCCCAAAGCAGACAAGCCTAAATTCAATGTACCAGCTCGACTCCCATTAGGTTACATCCCCTCCATCCTCACCCCAGCCCGCCTTGAGCAGGGGCCAGCTGGCCAAGTGGTGCCTCTGCATCTCGTCTGGTACATCTCGCCTAATCTCGCCCTTCCTCGGGGCCGAATTAGAGACGCTGCTTGTAGCTCAGCGCGATGGAAGCAAATCAAGTTCTGCCTTGTTTCACAAGCAAGAAATGGTCCTACCTGGCAGAGCCAGGGGCTGGGGGAGAAGGGAGGTCTGCAGGGGCTGCCTGCGGTGGCTCTCCCAGGCTTGGACC